ATGCTCTAATAAATTTGTTAGTCTCTAAGGTGCCACAAGTACTCCTGTTCTTCTTTTTGCGGATACAGACTAACACGGCTGTTACTCTGAAACCTGTCTAAATGAAATATTTGTAATAAAACTTTGTATGGTGATTCAGCGAAAGGGGGCTAAGAAAGAAAAAGGAGGAATCTGGAAGGTAAAGAAAGTCAATAGCAGCAAATAGGCATCTTATACCTGTGAAGTGAGTTTCAGAGACAGTGAGTGTTCAGTTCCAAAATATTAAATAGACGACAGTACCCCTCTGTTTTCTATCAAGGTAAATGCAAAAGTTCAAAGTTCTACATTGCATAGTAAGCAGTAAAATAAACTAGAGAGACTTGCAAACAGGCTATTTGCCCCCTTTTAAGATTTGTTTTCTTTCTCCGCCTCTACCATGTTGGACATCAATTCAGCTACCAGCAAGTCAGATGTGGCACATCTTCTCCACTTGTGCAGTTAACTTGAATCCCTGACTTGACTATGAAAGACTTAAAAATGTCTGTGATTGGAATTTATCTACTATCCTAATTGTGTAAATTCCCTAGACCAAATTCACCTCTGGCATAAGATAGCAGAACAGAACTAGTACAGTATGCCAACAGTGATCTCATCTCAAGGTAGATTACTTCCTGAAGTTACCACCCAAATCATCAATATGATCAAACACGCTGGTAGCTGAAAAATAGCAAAACCTGTTTAAAACCTTATTAAACTGTAAGGCCTTAACCTATACTGGGAGCATAACCAGGTCAGCTGTGGCTTGCATGGTTCTGCTCCCGGTGTTAACAAGGCCTAACGCTCCACTGTTTAATATCAAAACAATGAAATATCTAACAGAGTATCCCTTTATAACATGGATCTAGACTAGTGTTGTGGTTTAACGTTTTTTAAAAGATACTGTTCTGTTACCAAGTTTACTAGAGTCCAGCTGAGTTTAAAAACCAAGATGACTTTTGCTTAATATTTTGATGTGCCCATGCTCTACAAATGTAAACACACTCAATTCTGGTCCCAAGTCTTTTGCTAAAATATTTGAAAATTAAAAGCTGCAAGTATAATACAAAAAGGGATACTCTATCCCATGCACTGCATTAGTATCTTAGATGCTATCTTCAAAGGTTAGTATAATTAAAGAATATTCAAACAGCTTTATTTCAGACAGTGATCTCCAGGCTTTTATTACATATCTAGAAGTTAGTGTTAAAAAAGGTTTCCACCAACTATTTTTCACAGTCCACGTTTCATACTTCGTGTACACTACTCATGTCTTAACTTCAAAAAGGTTTGTCTTCCCTATTCAAAGTTGTAGTTTTAAGAGCCAAAATTATATGAACAGTGACAGAATTAACGGCCTTCTGGATGCCAAGTAACAAACACAGCAGAAGAATAAGATGCCCATGTGAGACTAATATTCTACATATTAAATTCTAATATATGAGAGTGTGAACTGCAGAAGAGTGTCCTGAATTTTTATAGCTGCTGTTTTAAATTTGAGATCAAATATCCAAAGTGAGGAGGCAGACCGTCAAAATAAATACAGCTACGGCTCAGCTACAGTCTGCAAATCCCTGCTTTTAAGTTTTGGATTCTTCAGGACATTAAGCTTTCTAATCTATTTCTGATTAGATCATATAAAAACACCTTTTAGTGCTCCATGCATTTAAAAAAAAATATTTACCGTGCCTGCAGGCTCTCAATAGAGAATGCTAATCCAGATAATCACATGTAAACTGTTTTTTGAAGGGGTTTCTGGTTAACACCGTTCTCATTTAGATATACAGCAAAGCACTGACTATGGCCATGTCTACATTACAGACTTACATCAGCATACAGCTGCTGCAGTTAGTGCATCGCTTGTGTGAGCTCGTTGTGTCAGCAGAGCGCGTACTCACCAGGAGCACTTGTATCGATGCAGACTGTGGTGCACCATGGATAAGTATCCCACTGTGCAACTCGCCACCAACCGGTGCACTGTCTTTTAGGAAGTTTTGACCATGTTTGATGGGGCAGAAATGAGTTGGGCAGGGTTATTGGAAGCATGGGGTCAACTTTCCAGTTTGCAACGGTCTCCATCCCAAACTGCCATCTTTATCCCATAATTTTGGAGACTTTTTTTCAAAATCCCACAAACCCGTTTGGCTCTCCTCGCTGTCTGCCATCTCTGACAAAAGCATGGATCCTGCACACCTCTGCACTATTTTAATGAGTATTGCAAGCACAGGGTGCACGTTCCTGCAGTAACTGCAGAACCACAAGAAGAGATGCGGGGAACAGGATGATTCCTTGGATGACAGATTGCTGTGGGACACAGAGGACCAATTCAAGGTTCTTGTTGGCATTCACGGAGCAGCTGCAAATCGTGGAGCACTGCTTCTGGACCCAAAAAAGAAGCACTGACTGGTGGGATTGCATTATAATACAGGATTGAAGAAAAGAGAAAAATTGAGGCGGGATTTGAGAGCTGCTTTCAACTACCTGAAAGGGGGTTCCAAAGAGGATGGATCTAGACTTTCTCAGTGGTACCTGATGACAGAACAAGGAGTAAAGGTCTCAAGTTGTAGTGGGGGAGGTTTAGGTTGGATATTAGGAAAAACTTTTTCACCAGGAGGGTGGTGAAGCACTGGAATCGGTTACCTAGGGAGATGGTGGAATCTCCTTCCTTAGAGGTTTTTAAGGTCAGACTTGACAAAGCCCTGGCTGGGATGATTTAGTTGGAGATTGGTCCTGCTTTGAGCAGGGGGGTGGACTAGATGACCTCCTGAAGTCCCTTCCAACCCTGATATTCTATGAGGTTTGGGATGACAAGCAGTGGCTGCCAAACTTTTGGATGTGTAAGGCCACATTCCTAGATCTGTGTATTGAGCTCACCCAAGCCCTCCAGTGCAGGGACACTAGAATGAGAGCTGCATTGACAGCTTTTGATACAGTCTCCCACAGTATTCTTGCCAGCAAATTAAAGAAGTATGGGCTGGATGAATGGACAATAAGGTGGATAGAAAGCTGGGTACATCATTGGGCTCAACGGGTAGTGATCAATGACTCCATGTCTAGTTGGCAGCTGGTATCAAGTGGAGTGCTCCAAGGGTTGGTCCTGGGGCCGGTTTTGTTCAGTGTCTTCGTTAATGATCTGGAGGATGGCATGGATTGCACCCTCAGCAAGTTTGCGGATGACACTAAACTTGGAGGAGTGGTAGATACGCTGGAGGAGTGGTAGATACGCTGGAGGGTAGGGATCGGATACAGAGGGACCTAGACAAATTAGAGGACTGGGCCAAAAGAAATCTGATGAGGTTCAACAAGGAAAAGGACAGAAGAATCCCATGCACTGCTACAGATTAGGGACCGAGCGGCAGCAGTTCTGCAGAAAAGGACCTAGGGGTTACAGTGCATGAGAAGCTGGATATGAGTCAACAGTGTGCCCTTGTTGCCAAGAAGGTTAACGGCATTTTGGGCTGTATAAGTAGAAGCAGTGCCAGCAGATCGAGGGACCTGATCATTCCCCTCTATTCGGCATTGGTGAGGCCTCATCTGGAATACTGTGTCCAGTTTTGGGCCCCACACTACAAGAAGGATGTGGAAAATTTCCAAAGAGTCCAGTGGAGGGCAACAAAAATGATTAGGCGCTCGAGCACATGACTTATGAGGCGAGGCTGAGGGAACTGGGACTATTTAGTCTGCAGAAGAGAAGAATGAGGGGGGATTCGATAGCTGCTTTCAACTACCTGAAAGAGGGTTCCAAAGAGGATGGATCTAGACTGTTCTCAGTGGTAGCAGATGACAGAACAAGGAGTAATGGTCTCAAGTTGCAGTGGGGGAGGTTTAGGTTGGATATTAGGAAAAACTTTTTCACTAGGAGGGTGGTGAAGCACTAGAATGGGTTACCTAGGGAGGTGGTGGAATCTCCTTCCTTATAGAGGTTTTTAAGGTCAGGCTTGACAAAGCCCTGGCTGGGATGATTTAGTTGGGAATTGGTCCTGCTTTGAGCAGGGAGTTGGACTAGATGACCTCCTGAGGTCCCTTCCAACCCTGATATTCTATGATTCTAGTAGTATATGGCAATGGCACTAAATACCAGCACCATTTTCCACAGGCAGTGGTGATTTTAGCTGATATTTCACTCCTGAGGGTAACAGAGGCAGGGAGAACACAGCTGCTGCTGGTATCCAGAAGCTGCCCAGGCCCGTATGCTGCTAGCCTGTGTACTGCAATGGTGCCTGCTAAAGTTATCGCTGACTGGCGTGGGAAAGTGTCCTACCGTGGCAGTAGAAATAAGGCTGCCATCCCTAGAAACCATTGGCAGAGGATTGCAGAGTTCCTCCACGAAAGTTTCATTGAGATCTCCACAGAGGATTCAAGGGACATCCCTGCGCACATAAACAAACTGTTCTGTATTCCCCCCCACACCCAACTGTAGAGCAACTCTGCCTCTCTTGGCTGTACCACTCCCTCTTCTAGCACAAGTTTCTTCTTGATAACTCAAAAGATATGCCCTGCTACTTTGAGGTGGGAGCATCTCTGTTATTGAAAATTAAACTACACACTTATCTGAGCTTTCTTCCCCTGCATTGGGCTCTCCTGTGCTCAACTGGTGGGACTGGCTGGACTGTGGTGGAGTCAAAAACAGGTCCTGGCTTGCTGTGTAGCTGGATTCCCGCAGCATCTGTCTCCCGTACTTCTCCTCCTCTTCCTCGTCCATCACCTCCTCCTCGCTGTTCATGGCGGGGGTCTGTGACTCAGGCTCCTCAGAGGTATCCATGGTGCTTTCAGAGAGGGGGGTGGTTTCTCCACCAGATATAGCATGCAGCAATTTGTAAATGCGGCAGGTCTATGGCTTGGCAATGGATTGATTGTTGATGGCCTTCTGGTATGCCTGCCACAGCTCCTTGGCTTTCATGTGTTGGTCCCTGACGTATCCCTTCTCCTGCATCCCCTGAGCAATCTGCCCATAGATATCCACATTTCTACTGCTCATTCGGAGCTGTGCCTGCACAGCCTCGTTCCCCGGAGGCCCAGGAGATCCAATTCCTCCTGTGTATTCCAGGCAGGAGTACATCCAGAGCATGTAGGCAGCATCATCAGCTGGGCAGTTCCACTGAACAATGGAGAGCTGCTAGGTGTGCTCGCCAAGCCAGAAAAAGGAATTTCAAAAATTAATGGGGCTTTAAAAGGTGGGAGTGGGGGAGAGACGCTTCTGGCCTCTGTGCCACCTGAGCAGCGGAATTCACAATGGTGACCACAGTGATCAGTGTGGGGCAGCTGCTGGAGGACAGTAACAGTCAACGTAAATAACGTAGTGTCTACACTCGCAATGCATCGACCTAATCATCAACCATAGCTCTATGCCGCTCAGGGAGGTGGTGTTATTAAATTGGCATAGCAGGGCACTTATGTCACCGGGAGCCACATTTAAGTGAAGACACTTGCACAACGAGGTCAACATATGATGCCTTTTGTCAACATAACTTTGTAGCGTAGACCAGGCCAACGTCTAGTGCCTTCTAGAGATGCGAGAAGATTACCAATGGTCAAAATCTTTTTCCTCTTGCCAGAAGCATAATCTACACACTGAACACCCACACTAGCCTGTAAACCAATACTGATTACAGTAAGCTCAGCAAAGCAGTTTTCAGTGGAAATGAAAATTAACGATGCAGATGCTGTTAGCTATTAAAAGCAGCACCATTTACGCCTCCATACGATTAAAAGCCTGTCAGTGTATTTCCATTACAAGCCCCCAATTTTCAGCTATAAAATGTTCTTCAGACTGAAGCGAAGCATAAAAGGCCACAGACCCAAGAGCAATTTAAAAATTTAGTTTTCTTCATGCCTGAAGTGCATTAGAACAGTTTGTTCAGTTTAAGTTTTAGGGGATGACTCTGCCCTCTGAATAGTCAGATGGATGCCAGCACCATTTAGTCCGTTGAGTAATTATCCAGGAACTAAAGAGACCCTCGGACCATAACAGATCTACAGTTAATTATAGCTAGAGTTCTGAAACTGGATTTAGTATCTGGATCAGTTGTCTACCCCATCCCACACATGTGAATAGCCCCCAAAAGCAAGGAAATAAAGTATTAACACCAATACTCAGGCACCAATTTGTGCAGCTCAGCCTAGATAAGTATCAAGTTCCCTGTGATCTTACTTAACACAGGAGACCAAGACCAACCCCTTTTATGTGCACAGCACAGTTTGCTGGGCAGGAGACACACACAGGGAACCTCTTTCTCCAACACTTGAATGAGAGGTGGGGGGACTGGTTCTTGCACAAGCCAGTACACCACAGTCTCAGAGTGGGCATGTTCTGACACTAGGGAGTGCATTCAGACGTACAGCCAGCTAGTACATGCACTGCTGTCTGAAGCACATCCAAGCTGCCCTTGCTGTGGACTCCTGAAGTAAATTACACATTGCTGTGCTCTTCCTAGTAGTACTGGCCCAGAGCCTATAAACTCTAGGAACAGTGAGTTAGTAAAACAGTGAGTTGGGTGTGAATATTCCAGTTACAGGAAAACAAATTGTGTTCGTACCCTTTTTACTTCTTTCTGATGTAGGAAGATCTCAAAGATCTTCTTCCCAAAAGCAGGTAAGGGGTTCTGTTTGTTTTTTCCACATAAGGGAGAGACTGGAACATCAGCAATTGAGAGGAGAGGGGATTTTAGTCTGACTTTTTAAACCTGTTTTTTGTTCAAATACTTGAAAGAAAATCAATCTGTGTGAAAGATTCAAACATCTTGACCCTTTAACTGTGGGCTCAGAAAGCGCCCACTCCGGTTTTTCACGGAGGCTTCCAGAAAAAACAGGAAGCCGAGAACTGACATTTCTAATATAAGAGAGCAAAAGAATGTCAGCTTCTTCTCCTTTTCACCCCATTTTTTGGGAACATCTTTCAGACCTAGATATATCACAAAGAAGGAAAAAAAAAGACAAACCTAATTGCTTCCCCCACTCCTTGGCAGCTTGTCTTTAAGGCCGATAAAACCCTGTGCTGTAATTTGACCTATAAATCTAAGACGTAGATCAGCTAACAGACATGCAAGGGATTTGTATAGCTTAAAGAAACATTTTGATGAAGCTGAAGGAACAACGTCTGAATGATAATTATAATTTTAACTTCTCTGCTGCCAACAATTGCTGCCATACTAGTGTAATCAATTGTAAGATACAATGTGAGCACGGCTTACAAATTAGTAAGGGAAGCTCAGGTAACAGCTATCTAAAATTTGGTCTTTCTATAAAGGAGATGCAATGAACAGACTATCAAGGCAGTTTGCTAGTCCATAGCTGGATTCCCAGAGCTATGCTTAGTTCAAGAAATAAATAAGGTTACGATATTAGTAATCGGTGAAGCAAACAAAAAGTCAGCTAATATCAGCTTTTGCTGCACTAGAAATCTTTTGCCCAATTGGAGGATATTTGTTTAGGTAAAAGGTTGTTTTCAAGCTTCAGATGATTTTGCTCAGTAAGTAATAGTAAAGCAATGGAGTTTCCTATTTCAAGAATGTAGGCTTGACTTCCAAAATTAAGTGTGTATGTAATCTGTTTATGCAAATACCAGTTACATCTGCAAGCACAAATGGCCAGTTACAAATTTTGCAGGCTCTTTGCATGTGTAATTGTGTTTTTCCATACATAATTACCCACTCCTAACTATCAAAGTCAAAAATGTGTGTCAAGCAGGTGTGTGAAATGTTTGCATGGTTTCAGGATATCCTGCAACACTTCTATTGTTCTGTCACAAACTGTAAAAATCTAAAGATCACCAAGGTTCAAGAGCCATGGTAGTGCATAATAATAATAGCTAGTTCTTTTATAGTGCTTTTCATCTTTTGCTCTCAAAGTGCTTTACAAAGGAGGTCAGTATCATGGGTCAATTTACGTCTTTGCATCAAAATCATGTAAAATCTGTGGTTCTGCTAAGTTATGATGCAAGAGCAGATGAAAACTGGCTACTTTTTCATTTTGAGATTTGGCACCTAGATACTGATGATACTATGGGGCTGGCACATTACAAATGTGGAAGACAAATGTATTTGAAGCCAAAATTGGATAGATACAAAGATGAAAGCGAAGATACATTCCATATGAATTTCTGAGATGGGAACCCCCTGAGTTTCACATAGCTATAGCACAGAGATGTCCAAATAGTAGTCTGTGGACCACTTTCAGGTGGTCAATGGAAATGTCTTGTCACATGGTACTGGTTCTCCCAGTTTCCAGTTTGAGAGAAACAGGACCAGAAAGGGAGGGAGATATGAAAAAGGAGATTGTGGGATTGTTTTCTCAAAAAGAACAAAAGCACTTGCCACACTAAAAACAGCTAAAATATACAAATCTTACTTAATATAACTTTCCCCGTGTAAACAATTGCTATCGTTACCACAGACACCTCATACAATTATGAATGAGATGGGCTGTGGGCCTTCTGATTGCAAATGGAAAGTGGTCCACAAGACAATCTTTCTACAAAGAGATGTCCTCTTATGAAAAAGCTTGAGAATCTGAACTCTAATCTTGAGTTAGCTTTTTACTGTTCACATTTAAATGGCATCACTCTAGTGGATTTAAAACAAGATTTTTCTTAATATTACCTACGTGTCATTTTTGATGATGAATAAATAGATCTTTCTTTCTCACTGAAGACACTTTTGCAAATTGGTTGGCTCATTTGGGAAATACTAGGAAACTTTATTAAAGGAAGTAATGTACCTTACAGTACATTAGGCTGGCCTGAGTTGATATTTATATTAACAAAATAAATATATGTAACAAGCAGTGCAAAATTACAGTGGAATGGAGAGCCAGCCCTCTGCTATCCTGGGTTGTCCATAGTTTTAAAATCTTTATCATTTAGGTCTGGTGACTAGGACATGAGCTGAAGTGTCACCATCACTATAATTTTTTATTTTTACTTTTTGGTTTTTTAGAAATACCTAGTTTTGAGAAGCTTTATATTCATCTCTCTTAAAAAATGGTGATGCTGTGTATTAAAAGCTGGAGATCACTGATTTAAGTAAGTTATGGCTTTTGTACTTTAAGCATATATATTCTAAACCAAGCATCAGTAAGTGTCCTGGATAGGTTATATTTTCCAGCAATGTTCAGTATTGTGTGTGCTTTGCACCTCAGAAGTGAGTCTGCCAAGGCACTTAGAGAATGTAAGTCTTTTAGGGACTTCATGAGAATGGGCTACAATTGACACAAAACAACCCATCCATCAGCAGTGTCAAATCTCCCAACAAGCATACTTCCTTTATAAACACTCAAAATCTACTAAAAATCCACAATGAGAAAAAAAAAGCCATTTACTGCATGTCACTAAAAGACAAAGATTTCCCCTAATAAAAGCACAAAGAATGGATCTTGACTGCCTGTAAGAACAGAACAAGGTTTTGTTTTGTTTTCAAAACAGAACAAAACAAACAAACAAAACCCCCAGAAATACCACACGCTTGCTATTTCCACAAATCCACTTCCTTTTATCTATCCTTGGAGGTCAGTTTTTCAATCAGTTCTTGAAGTGGAGCCAGTTCTCTTCTGTCAATAAGGTTGAATTCCTGTAGAAGAGGGGGAAAAACAACATTTTACTTGAACAGACAATGTAATATTAGTACCAGCTTTACATTTAATTATAAAGTTACCCTGCAGTTTGCAATCGTCCAGGCTTACCTGTTAGCCATTTTCAACATGTAGGTAGCTGGTTCAAATCCAATCTAGGTCACTAATGACTAAACATGGTTACAATCAGAAGGCTATTCAGCAGCCTATGTGAAATGAATCAGTGCACTCAATAAAGTGCCTGGTAGATCTATATTCCAAAAAAAGATTTTACTTCACACTCAGATCCTGTTCTGCATTAAGGCCATCCAGCAATGCAGCTCAGACAGTATTCCCCCTTCTATAACTTCTAAAGGGCCACTTCCTTGATGGAAAAACAGTAGCAGCCAGTAAATGCACTCTCTGCAGCTTGATTTCAGAGTTTTCTTCTTCTACTGGCTGTGAATTAAGGTTTTCTTTGGTACTTGTCTGTCTTGTGGAAACATGTCATAATCCACTGTTGCAATCTGTTAATACTTATAGCAATAATTATACACTACAATACCAATAAGGTAGCATCTTGGGCTTAGAGCTGCCCAGTTATGTAAAAACACCTGCTTCTATACCGACTGCTAGAAAACTCAAAGAATGGTATTTTTATATATCGACATTTTAATATATGCTGTCTTCAGAGTAGAAGGCAACCATTATCACAGCATTCTTATGCTAATTTACCTGAACAAAAAAAATAAAGTGCTTGAAGGATGTGTTAAGATGTGCCTCTTCTTGTAGCTGGATTACTGGATCAAAGTGCTGGTGGTAAATGTGAGCATAAACTCTAAAGAGACGCTTTAGAATGGTCTTTGCCACTGACATGAAGTTCTTTGGGAAAGGAACACCTAAAAAGAAACAAATTTATGGTAAGCTCTTTGGGGCAAAAACTGGGTCTTCATAGATTTTAAAGCCAGAGGGACAATTATGCTCACTTAGCACATAACACGGGCCATGGATTTCACCCGTGATTCCTACATCAAGCCCATAACTCCTATCTGAGCTAGAGCATATGTTGAAGACAGACATCCCATTCTTGCTTTAAAGACTTCAAATGATGGAAAATCCCCCGCGTCTCTACGTAAATTGTTCCAATGGTTACCCTTGCTGTCAAAAAAATTGCACCGAATTTCTAGTTTGAATTTGTCTAGCTTCAGCTTCCACCCACTTGTTATGCCTTAGTCTGCTAGATTAAAGTGTCCTCTACTATCAGAAATCTTCTCTCCATATAGGTACATAACTATGATCAAGTTACCTCTCAACCTTCTCTTGGATAAACTAAATAGATTGAGCTTCTTTTGTGTCTCACCTTACGACAGACTTCAAATCATTCTTGTAGCTCTTTTCTGAACCCTTTCCAATTTATCAACATACCCTTTACACTTTGGGCACCAGAACTGGACGGAGTACGTCAGTAGTGGTCTCACTAATCCCTTATACTGGGGTAATAAAACCTCCTTACTCCTACTAAATATTTCCTTGCTTATACATCTAAGGATTGCATTTGCTCTCTTAAGCTACTGCATCACATTAGCAGTGCATGTTCACTTGGTTATCCACTATGACCCTGTTAGTCATTTTCTGAGTCACTGCTTTCCAAAATATAGTCCCTCATCCTATTAAAAAAAGTCTTCATATATACTTGAACAGGGCCAAACAAAATGGAGATCCGAGCCCTCTGTGCACTACAGTAAGATCAATATTGAATAATTAAAAAACACTATTAACATTACTTTTAATAATAATAAAAGCAGCTGTCCTCTCCCCCACTCGCTGTGCCCAACAGCTCTGAACTGAAGCACTAAAGCAAATGCCATCTTGCTAACAGGTTCCACGTTGCCACCTACTGAGCAGGGTATAGCTGGGAAGAGGGATGACTTAAAAAACAAAACCTATTATAGGTTCATTGCACCTGACTAAAACCATGAACAAGTAAAAGCAAAAGCCATTTGATTTTGACAGATGGTCCATTTTTTAAAATGGGCTGTCATTAGCGGCTTGCTGAATAGTGCCATGCATTTAAAGAAGCCTCCTCAAAACAAAACATTTCCCAATTTATTTGTAAACAATAAGTTCTGTATTCACGATCAAGGGTGCAAAGCTGACCCAGTAGGGGAATGCCTCCTTGGGGCTATGCATCTTTCCTGCACAGAAACTTATTTTGGTAGTTGGGAAAACACTATATTCTGCAAAAAGATACTGAGGATAGGGTACAGGGGTTGGAATGACTTTTCCTCCTCTCCTATTTCTCTAGAGCAACACCCTCCTTTTTAAAAGGAGATAGCTGAAGAATCAATGAAAATACAGTTGCTTATTAAATAGAAACACCCTTTTTCTACATCCTGAATTTTAACAGGTTTTTATTAAGGATTGCTCTTTTATGTATCATGTCTGATAGCCAGGCACACAAATTGTACCTGCTTAAACAGATGCAAGTACCTTTCAGTGTACTAATAAATTGTTCTTTAACTGTGCTACAGTAGTCACTAATCATTTAAACAACAACTCAATATTCAACAGTTCACCATTTCTATTTATTGCTGAGTTCCCTTTGGGGTTGAATCAATATTTTTTCTTCTTGTAAATTCAGACACAAAGCTATACATGCTTTTCAATGCCAAGAGATCTTAATAGTCCTGTACAACAGGATGCTGATTTCACTGTTCATTTTTACCTATTTTGGATGGAAATAGTGTTTCATCATCCAGCTGATCCTGGACCCAAGTCATCAGGTAATCAATGTACTTTGGTGCCGAGCACTTGATTGGTTTCTTTATGTTTGTCCCATCTGCCCAGTGATACTCGTATCTGGGTTGGAACAGAAAGGAAAGACATCTCTTTAACACACAACTGAGTCACTCATACAAAAGCCTGGGCAAGGTTTTTTTGTTTCTGTTTAAGGATTGAACTTGATTTTTATAATGCTTTTAGAGAGACACACTCCTGGTCCTTCCCTATCACCAAGGGAGTGAACGTATTGCCAACCCAGGAATGAAAAGGACTGCTGAGTGCTGCAGTGCTAAAGTCCTCCCAAAGGAACCAATGAGCTATATTATATTCCTATATATTCCTATAGTATATTATATTCCTCTAAATACAAAAGAGAATGATACTGCCCGTTTAAAACCATGTGCTTTCAGAGAAAACATCGTTACCTATCCTACAAATCTGATCTTAAATTATGAGAACTGAAATAATTTAAATAAATCTTATAAACTTTTAAACAGCTTAAGTTTAGGCTTCATTTTTTTCAGCTTGGACTGAAAATAGCCTAGTCACTGAAAATAGCCTAGTCACTTTCATTGTCTATTCTTAACACAATAGCAGAATGTTGTGATGTTTGAGTGGCAAACAGCAGGGGAATGTTTGTTTAAAAATGTTTCCTCCAGAATTAAAATTATGAGAACAATTTTATTGGTCATACATCTTTGTAAAATATGTTTAAAATATATTTGTTTAAACAAGAGCAAAATGGTGGACACAATTTAATCAAACAGTGTCTGTTTTAAACAATTTAAGGTGTTTTGTCAGTTAAATCAGCAACTAGGAGAACCTTTTCACAATAATTTTTAGAACAGAGATCAGTTACGGCAGTAAACAAGACTAACATTTATTTACACATTTCTCTTGGTTTATCAAATCAGGGATAGTTCTTTGAAAACATCTAGTCAATGTATAGCGGCAGTCCAAAAAGCGAACAGAATGTTAGGAACCATTAGGAAAGGGATAGATAGTAAGACATCAATATCATAATGCCTCTATATAAATCCATGGTACGCCCACACTTTGAATACTGTGTGCTGTTCTTGTCTCCCCATCTCAAAAAAGATATATTAGAATTGGAAAAGGTACAGAGAAGGGCAACAAAAATGATGAAGAGTATGGAATAGTTTCCATACAAGGAGAGATTAAAAAGACAAGACTTTTCAGCTTGGAAAACAGATGACTATGGGGAGATATGATAGAGGTCTAAAATATCATGAATAGTGTGGAGAAAAGGAATAAGGAAGTATTATTTACTCCTTCACATAACACAAGAACCAGGGCTCAGCCAATGAAATTAACAGGCAGCAGGTTTAAAGCAAAATGTTCTTCATACAACGCAGTTGACTTGTCAACTCACTACCAGTGGACGTTGTGCAGGCCAAAACTATACTGTAACTGGGTTCAAGAAAGAATTAGAGAAGTTCATGGAGGATGGGTCCATCAATGGCTTTTAGCCAAGATGGTCAGGGAAGCAACCCCAGGCTCTGAGTGTCCCTTGACTCCGACTGCCAGAAGTTAGGAGTGGCTCGATAATTACCCTGTTCTGTTCATTCCCTCTGAAACATCTGGTGTTGGTGCTGTCAGAAGACAGGATACTGGGCTAGATGGACTATTGGTCTGACCCAGTATGGCCGTTCTTAGGTTCTAGCATAGAGAGAAATCAAAGAGTCTACCTGCATGTTAATGAGTTTACCAAGAACTGCCCAGTCCTAACATTGATTCTGGCAGAGCAGACCTTCAGCAACCCCAGCCCTAGGGGAGACCTGGGGTAGTTACCAGCTCATCACAGTTTCAGCTCAGAACATGCACAATCATGACATGTTTACCCTTTCATTTCAAGAGCAGGTAATTAGTAGACAATAGTTTTTTTCCGCAGGCATACATTCAAAAGGGTGGATTCAAAGTGTGTCACTTGCATTCCCCAGCTACTTCCTAGGAAATCCAATCCATGGGTATTGTCCTAAAAAGTCCTTTGAACTTTCTCATACCTTCCAGAAATTGCATTAATCCCATCTTCCTGCTAAAGCACTTCCATACTAATCTCACAATAATACATAAACATTTGCATTTCTAATGTAAAGTACCCCAAAGATAGCAATCCTAATTCAGAAAGGTTTAACTTAATTCAATAAAATTCATTCCGGATACTGTCAGTCTGTCGTATAGTGACCCACACCATTTCTTGAAGCATCGCCTTGTTCCTCTGAGGTCTTTTGTGCACGTATTGACCCTGCTTAGCTTGTGTGACCTGACAACCTCGGAGTATGAAGTGGTATGACTTCTAAGAAATAGTAAAGATATACTCTCTTCCACAACACATACTATAAGTGGAAATATGCAGAGATAATCTTCAAATACTCTGACAATCCCCACGTCTGGCTTCATAAAAGAAACTGGACTAAAACTTTGAGATGGTTTGATCTATAGCAGCAATAAAGTGTGGGTACCAGTAAGAATCCTGGGTGCTGTATTACATTTGGTACTTCTAGGGGTCACGAAGCTGATAAAAATCAGTGTTTTCCGCATGATTAAATGTATTAATCAAAACATTATTCTGGGACTGAAACTTCTTTAGAGGGTTCCCAAAATATAGAGCAGCAGCATTAGGGCAGTTATGGAAGATTAAAACCAGACTCATACATTGACTCAAATGAGTGAGCAAGCACCTACATCTCTAGTAGTAAAACAAACATACCATGCCATTGCCATCAACTAAAACTCAACCTTATGGTTGGATTGGTCTTGTTTGAAAAAAAGAGAGAAAACCCCCAACACCTCTGTAATGCTCATGGATCATGTTATAATAGAGACAAAATGATATTTAGTGGGTAGAGTAGGAAATATAACATTTACAGTAACTAGCTGTAGGATCAAACAGCCCCAAATGACATTGTTAGGATTTACCAGGATTGAGACAGATTAGTTAATCGTTCTTTCTATTCACATATGCTAATGATTCTACCTAAATGTGAAAATATGCCTACGCATTAAGGATAACAAGACCAACTCCTCCTCCACAGAATTCTTATACGCACATACACTTTTTCTTTCCAATAAAAATACCTTTGAGAAGGCTGTAGAACAAAACTATCACTTTTGCTAAGCAAAGTACCCATGCTAGGTGGCTAGGATTAAGATTTTTAAGGGTATTATTATATACATAGGAACTTTATATATAACATCTTTAAATCCCAGTAAAGAGATATTAATTTGACACAGTTTAAAATACTGTAATCAGTTTTGACTCTCCCATTTGCCAAGAGACACTGGAGCAAAGGAAGAGGTCAGAAAAAGGTAAGTGGGTTGGCACACTGCTGAGAGAGAGGAGCTATTAAAAGAGGCAGATTCAAATGAGAATATATAACTGTTCTCACAGCAGACATGTAAGGCAGAGGAACAGAAATTTCATATTTAAGTTTATGAGCTTAGGCCAAAATTGGGATTTGTGGATACTCTTCACTTCTAAAAGTCAGGCCTCTTTTGTGTAGGTGCCTGAATACAGACGTGCTGAGCACCCACAAATCTAACTGAAGTCAAAGGGATCTTTAAGTGCTCACTCAGAGAGAGAGAAAAAAAAAGGCCACTTTTATGAAGATACCTAAGTTTGGACTTGGATGTCTAACCCTAGACATCCAGATATGAAAATTCTGGCCTTCATGTTTTTTCCAGTGTGTACCTATTGGCAGACATGAAAACCAATGAGAAAAGGGGAAAATGAAGCAATTACTCAATTTCCCCTCCTTCCTAGTACCTTGTAAACATATTACTTTAACCATATATTTTATGCAGACGAATAACTTTTCAATGTGCTTGTTCTGCTTATGGTTACATGACAGTTGATGTGGCAAATATAGTAATGAGGACTGATGATTGAAAGCAGGTGTAGCTCGTTTTCGTTGGGTTGAGGAAAGAATATGGGTATGAATTGGAGACACTGTTTTAAGACATGAGTAAGTGAAACTTACTATTTTCTTTCCCTCTTTTTATTTTTCTGACAACTAGCCATACAATGGACGACTGGGTAGTGGACATAAGGACTGTTCCTGCTGCTGCTACTGACCTCAATGGGCATGTCTAGACTAGCATTTTTAACAGAGTTAATTGATTGCTCGTTGCTCAAGGTACCTAATATGCTTGTAAAGGGCTAGTCTGGTAAAACCTCCAGTGAAGACCCGGAGCCACAGGAACAGGACTGAGCCCACAGTGCATGGTATGTAGATGTGAAGAACATAAATTGACCCTTGCTAATAATAGAAATCATTCCAGTCTTATACCTGCAAGCAGCTCCCCATCTCCAAGCAAGATCTCAGGCCAGGGAGGTATGCAAAGAACCCTAGTAAATAACTTCCTGTACTTAAAGGTCCCTTCCTAAGGGCATGGCTACACTCACAGATGTAGAGCGCTCAGAGTTAAACCAGCCTTCGGAGACAGCAGCAGGGAAAGGGCTGCCATGTGTTTACACTGTCAGCTGCAAGCGCAGCGGCGTGACCACATTGGCAGCTCTTGCAACGCCACAGCGAGCAGTGCATTGTGGTAGCTATCCCAGCGTGCAAGTGGCTGCAGCATGCTTTTTAAATGGTGGAGGGGGTGGAGTGTGACAGGGAGTGTGTATGTGGGGGGAGAGACAGTGTGTTTTGGGAGGCAGAGTGTGTCAGCATGCTGTCTTGTAAGTTCAGACAGCGGCAGGGGGAAACCCCATCAGCCCCAGCTCCCCCTTCCCCACACACAGCCTGCCTCGGCAGCAGCAGCAGCATTCCACAGTAATGGTTAGCTTTGTCCCGGAGCAGTTAAGCACGCCAGCTGTCAGAAACGGAGCTTTGAAAGGGGATATCCCCATGCCTGCAGCTGAGTTCTAAACAATGACAAGAGTGGCCACTTGACTTCAAGGGATTATGGGACATTTCCGGAGGCCAATCACAGCGCAGTAATGCAACACTTCATCCACACTGACACCTGGGCATTTCAAGCTCTATGCTTCTTGTGGAGGTGGATTACCAGGAGTGCTCCAGCTGCAGAGTCCAGGCACTCTAAGTGCCTTGCAG